TTCTTTCTTCCTGGATATTCCATTTCTGAGCCCGAAAAAAGGCGAACAATTTAATTATCCTAAAAAAGAATAAAACAGTTTTGTAGAGGATAAAGAGCTCTTTCAAATGGATGTATACACTCTGCTAAAAAACAAAACGAATCGTTGTAAAACAACTCTAACGCAAAACTCTACGAACTTATGTTACAACCCAATAGCAAGATGTATCCTATATCAGCTGACCCGCGAGTGACACGCCTTCATTGTCACTAGAACTCCAATGGAAGTCGCAAGAGGGAACTCTTCGCAAGGCGGGATCACTCAACCTTAGATAAAAAGCTCAACTATCATTCGATTGCAAGCCAAACAAGATGGATTTCAAAGTGCCGTGGATGTGTTACACAGTCAGCCCTAACAAACATTCAAGTGCCTCCAAATACCCTTCACATATACAATGCAACAAAAAGCGGTATGGTATGGGTGACGGGATATAAGAAAACGAATGTGTATTAAACGTTCACGAGACTTCTAAACTGACTCTCGAAATCGAATGGATATGAAAACGCCGGCTTCCTCCTATTCTAAGAACATCGCCTGAATTTTCGTGTTGTCGAATTAACCGAATCAACAATTTGATCATGGAATGTCATATTCCGTAGCGATAGGAGGCATCCCAGCAAAGACAAAACAGCTAAAATTCACAAAAAAAAAGTTTTTTTGCTTTCACCTTCGGCAAAGCGAGGTTATCTCCTAGAATCTACCTTCTCCGTCACCGTCTTTTTCGCTGCAAAAACTTCCGTTTATTATTGTAATTAATCATGAGTCCTTTGCCTGCGAAGGCCGACTCCAACGAACAACTCTCAGCAAAATTGCCTTTCTGAGCTCCTCCATCTCTGGGCCGCATCAAGATGCATATATGGCGCCACCGAATCACCTTTGCGAATGTTGAGTAGGGAGACATACCACACAGCACTAAGCTACTGATCATGGACTATACCTTAAAAAATTTTAAATCTGGGCACATTGGCAGAAGAAAAGAAGCGTACATATCCTATAGCAGTATAGAAGGTGGACCCCGTCCAAACTGGCGAGACGAAATTCCTTCTCAGAGATGTCCACCTGTCGCTATTGTTCCTCATCTGTCTGACGATAACGGTTCTGAGCAGGTATTTTGCGTTGAAAAGAATTTTCGTTGCGATAAAAATCTTTCCACTCACAATTCGCCCTTGGATGGAATCACTTGCGCTCGCCACGGTCAGCGATCGCTTCACAAAGCTATCGTGTCGAGTTTTGTCGCCATCTTACAAACATTAACCTCGATGACGTTTCATTGATGGCATTTTTTGGCAAGAGAATCGTCCTATTAACGGTGGTTCCACCTCGTTCATCAAATTCCGTTCTTTTCTCGTTCCATCGACATGCACACTACTTTTGTTTGCAAGTAAACACGAGGTTTTGCTAAGAACCGGTAGTTTTCTTTTGAAATAATCGGCAGTTTCTCTTAACAGTCGCCTGTTCGATCTAAGCTTTCACTGAAAACTATTTTGTTAGTTCCTATATATTCCTTCCTGATGATTGTGAAAAAACGGTGATGTCCAGAAAAAGCGAAGCCAGTGGGTACGATACTTTGTGAGGCTGCAAAATGTTGGAAAGGAATCCGGTATAACACTGTATTCAAAAAGTTCCGCGCACTTTCTGATATATCGGTTCTTGTCAGATTTTTTCCCGGTTTTTGATGCCCATGTCGGCATCAGAGGGCAGACTTTTTTTACTCTCGTTCAATTCGCTCGCCGTTTTTCTACCATCTTATCTCCTAGCTCTGCAAACCGCCTTCACTGCTGGAAACAACCTTTTGCTGTGCGTAGCGCTTGCTTTCTATGTGAACATCCCCTACTTGATTGGTACATTGTTCACAAACAGAAGGTAGAGGAGCGAATTAAAGTTAGGTCCTACAGTCTGAGTTACCCTTCGCGGAGGTCACATTCAGACCGTTCTATTAGGTGATTCCTCATTTAGACGAAGGTTGCGATAACTTAGGTCTCAGAAGTTTATTCAGAGCAAGCTTTCTATACTGCCTAGAATGTAGCGCGGATGTTGCTTTTTGCTTGAAAGTAAGCGACGATGTCTCAGTGGCACATTATGTCTAACTTTGCCTACATTGTTAAAAATTAATGTCGAGGAGTTAGAGTAGTTGCAGAGTGTAAGCCGCTTCCTCAATCTTATTCGATCTATCCCTCAAGCCCCCGTTTCGTTATCAATTCGGATCAAGCCTAAATGCTTCAGAAACCACTATTTCATGCATTGGTAGTTCTTCTATAGAAACAGCTTTGGACTCAAAAGTGCTCATAGACCTGAGATTATAGGCGTCAACCACAGAAACGTCGGCGTCCGTTATCGACTACACCCATTGAAAAAAACTGTAACGAGTGTCGCATTTTAAAACTGAAGAATAACGCAATTTCTTCTCGAGTTTTGTTTAATGCGGACTTTTCTGGTTCTATTGTTGTTCTTTGACTCATCTATTAGCAGAGGTCAACATTCCAATCACTGCCTCTGACCGATACTATGCATCCCCCTGCTTAAGCCGTCGCCCTCATCCTAATATCTGTCCTTTCTGAAACGGATCAAGCTGAAATTAGGGTCGCCTCTTTCATGACCTCGTGATCTTCTGAGTGCTTTTCGAAGTAGTACTTCTCTTGAATTGTTAATCGTTTCTTCACTCTTCTGAACAATTCATCTACATATCATTTGCGTACCCACATAGCCATGACGGTTCTGGAGGAGGTTGTGGAGGAGGCCTAGGGCCTCCTTCAAAGAAGAACCGTCATGCCTAGGATGATTGTGGGCCTTTTCTCTGAGGCAACCCGTTCAAATGATTTGTTGGAGCGGCTTCACTGTGAACACTTTTCACTCACTTGTACAACCAAACTATTGAAACACTAGTGATCAGCAATCGTTCGGTGAAGAAAATCAAAAGATTTCGTCGGAAACACCAGAAAGCAAGCATTAATTTTGTCAGTCTCCGTCAAGCTTTCAAATTGCGAATGGAACAAAAACGTAGTGGCGGCGTGCAGTGGTGAGGGAAGGAGAGCACAGCAGAGACTCACGGAACTCCCGGATGTGTATTTCACAGACCGACCGGAGCAAAATTCAAGCGAAGACACATTTTGGTGGCACATTATGTGTGGTTCTAGCACAACATTGAACCCTTTCTTCAGCATGAGTGCGTTTGTCTTTCCCCTTACCATTCACCATGAATCGTAAGTTTGTGAAGTGTGCATCCTTAATCAAGCTACAATACTAAGCAGTATCCGCTCTTTTCTCTGTAAAGCGGGATGCAATGCCTACCTGCTGGTAGGTCAGGTCAACCCCCAGCACCGAATAAAGAACTGTCGCAATTCTGTAAATTTCGTGTTCTTTTTCATTTCCCCCTCACCCTATGGAGGATGTGAAGCTGCATGAGAGCTTCCCTGTAGCAATCTAGATTAGTTTTCCATGGAATGCGGTTTTTCCAGCCATCTATTTTCAGCCTTTTCATTCGTAACTCTGGGACAGCTAAAAAATCCGCCATGCAGCACGTTCATTCTGATCAAGCTCTAAGAAAAGACGTACTGTTAACGGTAAGGCACAGACTCTTCAGGTTAGGAGTCAAGAAAAGTCAAGGCTTCTCTCAGAAATTTCTCAGGTCAGAGACTACCTAATGATTTAATGCGAGTCATGGACCGTTTTCGAAGTCGCACAAAGTAGCCAAACGTACCTACCGTTCACTAGCGCAAGTTTATGGAACCTAAACATCTCAGACATGCATGTTTCAAATTTCAAGCATTTTTATCCACGAAAAGGTGACATAGAAGTTCAAGACAAGCTGATGGTTATCTCTGGAAGTTTGTACCAGCATTTGGTGAAAAACTTAAGCATAGTCACGCAAAAAAGAGCGACTGGACTAGTTTCCTGAAGAACTTCTGAACTCTTCTGCTTAAAAATGCGTTCCTTCCACGTATTTCTGAGTTCCATATTCCACTGCATTACTCACAGAGAAAGAGCTTCTTAATATGATATTCAGCAGCAGTATCAGACCAACCGTCCACCTAGGGATTCACTCTCCCTCAGAGCGACTGTCATCGAAGCAGGAATGTTGTGTCTATGTAGTAGTGGCAAAGATGAGGCCCTGCTGCCGTCTCTGAGGCTCACCACGGAGCACGACTAGTTTGGAAGTTTCAATCGTGATTACGTAGCGTACTGCACCATTTTGCTGGCCGTCGCCCTTTACTAAAACTCGTAATTTCGTCATATCGTTCTTCTTTTCGCTCGTCTGTCTGCAGTCGTTATTCGACGACGATCAAATTCGTCTTCGCTGACAAGTTCCTTTTCTCATCCGACGACATTCCACTAGGTCCACGTTCAAACTTTCTCGTGAACAGTGCGACGAGTTCTTCACACAAGTAATTTCACTGACCCTTACAAGTGGTCAATTGTCTCTTCAAAGTCTTGAAACCATATCAGTGTATTCACGCATAACTGCTTATTGATAAATTCATCCGAATTCACTAATCTGAATGATGAATCGTTTCCAGGTAATGATTCTTCTGTTCTACGCATTGATCGTACAGGAAGCTCTGTCCTGGCCTGACGGCGCTCCGTGTCTTCATGCTGCTTACGAGAGTATGAATCCACTTGAAGCCGTTGAACACCAAGGTGGTCTACAGGTAAAACTTTTAGGAAATTACTTCGAAATTCTCTCGTAGAAGGTCAGCATCAAATTTCGAATCCCGAAAAAACAGTCGGTGCTTATGTCCTTTTTCTTCCAGAGGTTCCTAGAAGCTTTCAATAATATTCTTACCCGAATCCTTTGATTGTGAAGGTGTAACACATGTATGTGATCAATATCAAATCATCACGGAAAAAACCTTACCTTTTGATGAGTGAGAGAAAGGCAGTAAGGAAAGTTGAAAAGTAATCGATCATAATCTTACTGAAAGCACTACAACGTTAGCTACACCGAACGGTTATTGTTTATGTTTATTAATTAACACGTCATTCGATACGCCGTCAAAAATATAAATATGATGCGTAGAGACAAAAACTCAGACTGAAAGAACTAATTACCATAACAAGTCAAAAGTGAGGATATCTATAAAGGATACCTAACCACCTTCTAGTCATTCTAGTATACCTAGAACTGAGCATTGCGAACTAGCAACAATGGTTTAGAAAGCTTGAGTGTAGCGCAAGACGAGAGCTGGAGAGCTGACACAGGGGTAACCAATTTCACAAATTGTAGAATAAAATCTAGTGACAATAAGTGTGTAAACAAAGTATAGCAAGGCACAACCATAAGCAGCTGGTGCAGTTACCCTTGAAGCAAGAAGCNCTTGCTCGGAGTGGGACCCCACATCAGCCGGCTATGATGCCCTTCGCCACAACCGTGGTCATAGGGACCCGCCAAAACTTCGAGACAGGGTTTACCGGCCACCCACGTGGAATTTTTATGTTGAGCTTGGCTTCAAAACCCTTTTGTAGCTAGTTATATCACTGCTAAATAAGATTCTACCTGGCAGGTGGTAACACAGGTAACTGAGCTTAATTCTAATGAGTACCATATATAAAGGCCTCTTCTCAGCCTGCTGGCTTGACTCCAATCATGAGACGGCTAGAAGCCTGTTACTTGATTGAAGGGGATGTCTTGAATAACGGCAGGTTGCAAAGCATGAAGTAAATGAAAGTCTTTAAAGTCTTTGAATGTTGATCGAACCCGTCTAAGGCATCTGCCTACGCGTTCGACTGTCGTTATCGTACTGGCGCAGAGAATGCGTGTGTGACCTTTACGGGCTTGCGATAGCCAGCCCATGTACATGTCAGTTTTTTTGTCCTCCCAGACGAGTCTATCACCAATTAACCGACCCAGGAGGGATGGAAGGCTTGGTGGACCTCGGCAGATATCGATACGGGATTCGAACCCGTAACCGTACGTGTGTGGAGTGTGCCACTTGCTACTACACCACCATGGATTGAACTCTACCGCATCCATATCATTGCCTTGGCATTAACATTATTCAAACGTTGTTCGATGCAGTAACAATTAATCTTCCGTCGATAGAAGTTACATGTTCCTTCGGAGAGTGCCATGTGTTTGAATTTCCATTCGGAATGGAAACTGTGAACTGCTCAGAACAGAAGCTATGAACTACGTGCTGATCCTATCATGGGAGTTAAGGTAGCCAACCATTGTGTAATTCACATGGTCATAATTGGGCACTTCAGCCACCCACAATGGAAAAAGTATGCATCTCCCCAGATTCCATTCCCTCGACCACGCAGAAGCGATACAGTGCTTCTTTCCTAAGCCATTAAATTTCATCATTGCCCAACAATAGATTGGAAACCCATAACAAATGTGAGGTTTAGTCACGAGGTGAAAGTTTCTTCTTTAGAAGAAACAGGACGAGGATTCACATTAACAAGGAGCAACCTGTTTTCTCCCTTCTGCTTATTTGATGATTGAAGCTTTTTCAATTTTCCGAAAATGATTTTCGATTTCTCCTTCAACTTAATGGCTGTTGTGTTGCTGCGAGAAACCGTTTTCGCATAGGAATTCGGTCCAAAACATTTTCGATGAATAGAGGGCGGCATCGTGTTAGAACAGAACATTGAATCTCCCACCAACATGAAGCACCTTTCATTGATAGCCTTATCATACTTACCGGTTAGTCATGGGTTCTGGCATAAACAAGCGCATAACAACTAATGATAGTGATGTGAAGTATTATACATTCCATGACTGTAGCTTTTATTGGGGAGATTCCAACCCCGTAGCCTCTCCATTTTATGTTTAGAACGCCAAACGTTCTACCACGGACACGATGACTTGGTTTAGGATCAACGACAAAATGGTTATTGGTGTTAAATAGCATGGGAAAGGACAGCATCGGCGGATGGTGAAATTGGCTATAGTTTCGTCAGTGCGCAGCTGCTTCGAGACCAGTTCTTTGGTAATTTACCGAGATGGTCGGACGGCAGCAGCACTATTAAAAAGATCCCCTGCAATTGCATCATAGAGGGGTTCAATTGGGAGCTATTACTTTCAAACTTTACCACATGCGACAACAAAATTTGCGGAATCTTCGTATGAATCCATTGATACTGATGACCCACTGCGATACTGTCCCGTAATTTTGGAATTCAAGTAAGACAATAAATTCCAAGTTCTCTCATCTTGAAACCTCGGCATTTCTATTGTTCTTGAAAATGTTAATTTTGCTTCTGCCTCGAGGTTGTTAGGTGGAAATCTTTATTCTGGCCAACGTTTCGACG